CGAAAAGAAATTTTTGTAAGACGTACGACGCTGAGGATTCAGGTTATTCTACGCCTACACAGCTTTTTTACTGATAAATCCATCTTTATATGTATTTTAAAGGATAGTCGCCTATTTTTGTAAGCAAATCCACTGCATTTCGCGTAAATAATTAGTTACAACCGCCCTGCATATGTTGGATATTGCTGCAGTGGAAAGCCCAATCATGTAAATGCTGTTTAGTGCTTAAAAAAAGTGATTTGTACTATATGCTTTTATAGGACAATCTTGGCGAATAAATATGATGGCGTTTCATTTATTCTTCTATTTTTTAAGTTCTCCAAGGAGGCTCATATTTCAAATGACCAATGATAAGGCAGGAAAAAATTGAGCTTCAAGAAACAGAAACTTAGTACTGAGGCCTGAAATGAATGATGAGTTGTAAAGAATAAATTTAGTTCCTCATTTTTATCAAAAGAATGAGTTTTGGAAGAAAATAACCAAGATGATGTAACCTTCTGTTGCTTCTAGAGAGTTTCTAAATTCAAGCAAGTGATTCAAACAAATTCTAACCCACAACATCTATATACCTCGGTGGTGGCCTGCTGCTGCGAGTTCCTGACCTGTCATAGTGAGCACTGTGAAACGGTCATGATCTAGTCCAACATTTTGTAGACGCTTCAGCGGGAAATGTTCTAAAAAGCAGTAATGAGAAATTTTTTAAGGAATAGTGCCCCATGGGCAAAACTTACTAAAAAGCTGTTGTGATACATCTATTTGTAGTTCAGCAATGAGTTTATTCGAAGGATCTAAGGCAACACCTTCACTAAGGGAGACCACAGCAGGTAAGAGTGCATTCAAGCGTCGCAATGCTTCTCCCCGACGATAGTAGGCCTTAAAGCAGGTCCAACGATTTGCAAAATGGTTTGAAGAGCAGAAAGACTATTTACCTTTGCCCATTTGGGGTCCAGCTCGATAGCATGGTCTGCATTCTTAAGCGCTTCGTCAACGCGATCCAATCGCAGTAAAATCGCGGCATAATTTGCAAACAGAATCGCGTTCTCAG